AAAATCATCCAAAAACCTATAATGTTCCCGGGGGGAACTCGTTTTGAATTTTACACATGGCTAGGAACACTCTCTTCGAACAGTTCTCCATGCAAATGTCACATTGGGAACATTTTCCCCATCGTTATCAAACCCTAACGTTCCACCTAGTTCCTCTCACCGGCTCGTTAGTTCCTGCATAGGAAGCGTAAGACTCTCATCTAGCATATTGAGCACTTTCTCAGTGTCCCACGGATTCACCCTCAGACTGCCTGTCAATACTTGACTACAGCCCGAGAACTCCGAGCAGACCACCCGCCCCAACAGCGCTCCCTGCTGGTCTAGAACACAACGAGGCGATGCCGTTGGGTCTTCGTCTACATTCAAAGACATCGCGTAGCGAGCTGAGAGATACCTGAGCGAAGTCGTGGGAAAATATACACATGACCAACTACAAGTGTCAGCGACAATACGAAAATTTTGAGTTAATTTTGCGTGCCCTGCTTCGTGAGAAAACTCCCGAAATCAGCTGAGAAGAGCGAACATATATTCCACCAACACTGCTCAGGAGTGTTACTTTCGTGATCCATGAAGGAGTGGTACGATAGCAAAGTTGAACATCGACCGTACTGATTTTTTCGAGACATTTACCGGGAGAAAATCCAGTTATGGAGCACGTTAAGAGGTGAGGCCCTCAAAAGATACTGTGGGGCTCGCATGGCCATACCCACTGAAAACCGCCAGGGGCCCGCCGGCCGGGCCCAAAAGGCAAAACGTCTGATGGAGCCAGCCCCCTCTCACAGAGGATGGAGGCCGCGCGCCGCACATCTCCATGTGTTTAGTAATAATGCTAAGCCGTAGTAATAGCTGTGAACATAACCCATTTCTGGTCACCTCCTATCACTCTACTGTTGACCACATTGTCCATAATATTCAAGTTTCACCCATGAGTGAAAAACGTATTTAACATTTCACTTCGCGGAAGACAATTGTGTTATCGCTCGCGGAATTATACGCCTGATAATTTACATGGACTATTACATCACTTCATGTCGAACAGGTGAAACTCCATCACACAAAGTGTTAGTATCACAATTCACGAGGCTGGTGTTTCCCGATCGGTATATATCATTACTATCTCACTACTTCCCAATGGATCACAATACTAACAGGCGTTGATTCCAACCGTCACTGCGCCACGAAATTCCCCCTCACTCAAAGGGCGCCAAATTGAGCCCATCCTTAAGACTAGTGTCCAACAACATATCCGATACTGCCATAGTCGCCAGCCGATCCTCTGTTCCGATATCACCAGCGTAGAAGAACACATGAGGACCCATACTGTCGTTGATCTCCTTCGCCAACGCTGATATCTAAAAGCCGTTATAATATATATCACTACATATCAACTATTTATACATGAACATCTATTCTTATTATTGTATTATAGTTATATATTTAACAGCTGACGGTATCAATATTTCTGCAATAACATCAAAAAATAAGGTATTCCCTACTAGTGTGAGAAAATTGGCCCATGGTGAAATAAATGTTTGTTGATGACAACCAAAAATTTTTTGGGGAATTCTCACTAGTTTTCATATACCCCTACCACAAATCTTGTGCAAATTTTCAAAAAGTAGTCAGAGAACTCTCGAGTAACCTATTTTCCCAACACTGAGTGACATGCTCGAACTCACATACAATGCTGAACTCCTCGTGACATCTAGTTTTACAGCCTATATCAACATTGCATTGGTAATTTGATAACTCACTAGTCGAGCAATTTACAAAAATACCAAAAAAAACTCCGCTCCGCCGTACCCTCTTCGACAAAGTGATCCTATTCTCTGGACTCGTATGAGTTGTTGTAGTCCTCGACACCGCCAGCTGCACTAGGACCACTTTATTCCTATACGCTGGGTACACCTTGAGGAACTGGCGGAACGTTCTCAGCTTCAGCAGAATGCCCGACAGCCGTCCCAATCTATCCACGCCACCTACACACAGACCAAATTTTCCGATCACCGCGAAAACCTCCCCAAAAACTTTCCAAACTTTATTACATATAATAGTTTTTCCAGCAAACTTCGCCTTCAGTTCCTTAATGCGCCTTAGTACCTCCGGCGACCTCATCTGGGCCGCAATCAGCTCGAACTGAGTTGAGGCATGCCCCACCGTCACCAACACCTGTACATGACAACACCATTACTGGCACATCCACGACTGAAATCCAAGAAATCATTCACAAATCTATGATGTGCCCGAGGGGAACTCATTTTGAGCTAATTTTCCAACAAGTTTTCCACGTGAATCTCTTCACACTAGCAACATTTTCCCCATTGCTATCAAACCCTTTCCCAGAACAGAATGAGTTCCTGGTGAAGTCCTTACCTGATGCCTCTGTTGAGGAGAAGCACTCGAAGCCGGAGCCCCAGAAACGTAGCTGTAAGGCACGTCCAGCGCAAGGTAACCGTCTGACAGTCTATACGACATGTCCAGGCCCACCAACTTTTTCACTACTGTGAGGAAATGCCTGAAATTCAACTTAGAAGTGTAAAATTGGTACCAAACTCCAACACAGCCTCAGAGTCTCTATCTCTTCTCATCGTGAAAACCGATCCAGACGAAAACCCATGTAAATTCTGATCTGTCGTATTATGTTATATACCCCGTTTTTGAAAAATCGTACTCATTCTACTCGCGTAAATTTTCTCCGATGAAATAACAGCAATAGGTCACAAAAAGTAATAGAAGTGGTATTGGAATAAATGTTCCCTTTCCTCAGCTGAGCTGGGGCGTTTCCTCACTGAGTTTATATACGACTTCGGGTAGAAGTGTACAGAAACCGACGAGACTTCACTCGAAATTTTCATATAGTCACCGATACATGTAGTTGATAACGTGCATATTTCCCCACACTGAGTAGAAGCTCCGAACTGGAGTATATGACACTACGCTCAAGTCGCCACCAAATCAGATCGTCAGAGTAATTCCAAAATCACGCAAATTTTCAACAATTCTCTCAAAAGTTATCACTGGAGTTTCATCCGCCATATGAAAAACATATTTCACAAACCACTGCATAGCGCGAATATCGCGTTTTTCACCACAAAGTACTACGTCACTCCCCATAAAACGAGTGAAACTCCACATATCTGTTCCCCCTCTCCACTACTACCTCGCATAGTCGAAGAATTGGAAGCCGACCAAATCAGCAGCCAACAGCGACTGCATCACTTGCGTTCGCACAGGCAAAGTCAAGAATATCTCCGATGTCGGGAAGGGCGTGTGCACAAAAAGACCAATCTAAAAATACCAACTCCTCTACCACAAAATTGCCAAACCCTTACCGTCGCTTTCTTCGGAGGTGAGCCGCTACTACTACTACTGCCGGCCGGGCTCAAAGTCGGCGAGGAGGGGCCCCTCTGGCTCCTACGAAGGCCCCGACGCAAGAGCATAGGCACCAGTAGCAGGTGATAGTCGTTAACCCAGTAGACGTATCTGAACCCTGCACTGTGGAATATTGGAGTTTCATCCATGATATAAACACTAGTGAAAAATATATATCTCACGACGATTGAATATCGCGAATATCACGTTTTTCACCGTGTTTTACGCCACTTCACGTTAAACGGGTGAAACTCCGTTGAACCGAAAATTTCGTCCCCGCCCCGGTCGGAACCAAAAACATAGCAATATTTCATTTGTGCAATTAACGAAGTAGTTGCGACAGAAAATAATTCTTACAATAACTGCGGACTCCAAGACTCAGATTTCATCTAGTTCAACCTCTCAAAGTCCATACTCTTCATTTCACAGTGACAGTACTCAAGTTCACACTCACAGTCCTTTCTCTCACACGCCCTCAGCGCACTACCCCCATCAGCATTTCCCCTCCTCTACTACTCTCCAAAATTCGGCAGTGTTGGGAAAAGATCCGCATTCAGCAACACATCCACATATCGCTGATTCGCGTTCCGGTACCTACAATACACCCGACAAGATTCCGAACAGTTCGATCAGCCCAAATGCCCAGGGACTTATTTAACTCCAAGGTAAAAATGTTGCTAATGTGATTATGACATTTACATGGGAAACTGATTGAAGAATGTGTTCCTAGCCATGTGGGAAATTCAAAATGAGTTTCCCCCGGGAACATTCTCGATGATTCCCTGCTTACTTTTCCCACAGTTTGTTGTCGAACGTCATAAGGTCCTCAGAGTTATGCACCAGAGGCACTTGGTCATTTACAGTAGGCCATAGGAACGTTTGACAGAAATCGAGGAATTCTTCAAATCCATGCCGTGCTGGCTGTGGACCTACTGAGGGCGCATCATCATCATCATCATCGTATGCGCAACGAACGAAGCCTCGAGTTTTAGAAAGATCGATCGAGTTTTATAAAAACTGCCAAGCAGACTTCGCCCCAATATCGCGAACCATATCGATTACGCGGAAGAAGTCCATGGTGGTAAGTACTCACCAGAAACATCTTTACAGGGAACGCCCCTACTGCTACTACTACTACTACTACTACCTCTTCTTTTCGGCTGAGGATCACTCGAAAAGACTGGTATACAGTCATAGGGCAAAAGGACTTTGCGCACCTCCTCTTGTTCTGAACAATGAATGATAATTTAACAAATTCCAAAACTTCCGAATTGTGCATCAAACAAGTAGTGTTTCAGGCTGAAACTTCAACAAGGCTTAGATACAGTAACGAGCGATCATATACCTCGCAGGACTGTGGGCGAAAAAATCTCATCCAAGTTATTCATATTTGTATCAGTTTTAACGTTCCCTAGGATTGATAACTCTGCAAAAAATGTTTCTAATGTGACCATGACATTTACATGGGAAAAGCTGATTAGAGAATGTGTTCCTAGCCATGTGGGAAATTCAAAATGAGTTCCCTCCAGGAGCACTATAAATTCCCGGATGAATATCTGGCAACCACCTTAGTACCTTCCTTCGAGAGATAGTCCAAACCCGGCCAGCCAACAAAGAGGGAGCGATTCGGATTGAGCTCATTCTTAACAGCATGGAGAGTGGACATCGACACATATCGACTTGGGTACACCTCAAAGCCTCCTCCAGCCCTGAAGTGGCGAATTTACGGTAGGATTATGATCATCATGATGAAGTATTACTTTCTGCATACGAGCACTGGGAGCTGAATACTGACGAACACGACGCAGTCATCCGGGGTGAGCGTAATCGACGCATCAAAAGAGGCTGACCGAACCTGAGGAGAGCCAACACCTTACTGCTATTACAAACCAAGGTTGACTATATGATCAATTTCATCAGCTAAACTCATATCGTGAATACCAAATCTGCCGTCGTCGTAGAAGTGTACAAAACCAGCGAAAAAATTCCCAAAATTTCTTCAGAATTTCATAAACCCGTATTGCCGAGTATTTGCCTATTCTACCACACCTTGCACCGCTCCTACTCTCGGTAGCGATTCTTGGGAGGGTCCCGATGGCCGTAAAGAGACATGCAGCTCTCCACTGGAAGCGTCTCTGCCTCCCGACTCCAGACTTGCCGAATCAGCCGCGCCCGCACTAGAAGCTCCCGATGCTGTAGTAGTGTCGGTATGCTGCGGCTGAGAATAGCCAAAGAAGACCACAGTGCACACCTCCCATGTACCCTAGCAGCAGCGCCGCCCCTAGACAACAGGTAGCGGTAGAGTCCATCGTCGTCTTCGATGGTCATTTCCATGCCACTCGGTATAACCTAGAAAAACAAATCCAAAAAAACGTTGAAGGTAAAATGAGACCTGTCGAATGACCCTCTGCCCGGCATCAGTCCTCTCCCAAGACTTCAAATTCCCACTAGGGCCGACTGTGGCGTAAGCATACTCCGTCACACGCATTAGAGGTAGCATGGCTGGCTCGACGGTAAACCAGCAAGGGTAGAGCGCTTCCCGAATACACAAAGGCAACCCTAGAGAGAAATCATACGTGTTACAAGAGCAGTGTGGAAAAATATGCGTGTGCTCAACTACATGTGTCGGTGACAATATGAGAATTTTGAGGAAATTTTGGGAAAGTCTTGTTGGTCTCTGGGCAATTCCATCTAATTCAAATATAATAAGTAGGGAACCTCCTGAGCTCAGCTGAGGAGAGCCAACATATATTTCTCCAACACTGTACAGGAGAGATATAGAAAGAGAGCACCTCTTTTATAGTCCCAGTTTCCAAGGGATGGATGGCCACCAACAACCCGCACGGTATCGCCGACTTCTACTGCGTCATTGGCGAAGTGAAAATGGCAGCGAGTGAAGCACCCCGGGTCCTGAATGATTCTCATCGTGCTTGTACCAAAGCTGAGTAGACTTACGTGATGAGTGCCACTTGTCTTGAGTTCTGGAGACAGCACACCTGTAGGAGGGAGAGTGACCACATCTGGGCCCTCTGGTCTCCGGCAACGGGGACTGCTGGGCATTCAGAACAAATAAGCTGAAAATCATAAATTAAAAATAAAAAACTAAATTTAATAAAAGTTAACTTGTTAACCTAAGTTGAATACCGATAATGGGGATGGTCGCGTCGCTTCGCTAGCAATTCGTACTTTCAACACCGACAGTCCGTGACCGACCATGCTCCTCCTCGACAAGCAAAGTATGATTACGGCGACACAGTACTGGCTTCTATAGATATCTCTGTTCCCAAGCCTTGGGTAGCAAGACGTATCACTACTACGCCAGCTTCGACGACGATGTCCTTGAGTCTGTTAGAGATGGCATGGCTTGCTCGTCAACGCAAGCTTCTAGGCCATTTTCCGGAGGAGAGCGGGACAGCGACACCGATCTTGGCTTGGTTGCAGAATTCTCTGACAAAGCTCCGCTAAATTCTGCCATATTTACTCCTGCTGCACCGTACATGTGGCGCGGTGGCAAAGGTCGAGGCCGACCTCGTTATTCTTCCCCTCAGGGACCTTGAACGCGTTAGTCTATCGCGTTTTGCATGACCGTGCGAGCTCCCCACCAAGGAGTCTATAGCTTCGTCCTAACCAAATTGAGCGCTGTGAAGTGTTTTGCCGGTGGAGTTCCCACAGTTGGAATGTGTGCCACATCGCAAAGGCTTGCCCACGGGTGCAGCGCAATCAGGTAGGTGGTCGGCATCATCCTCCTACGGTGTCTTCCACCTGGGGACTGTACGCGTCCTTTCCTGTTCTTTTAGACATAGGCCGCTCAGCAGCCGCTGCTGAGTGACACTGCCCATGTCGGAGGCGGTAAGCCGGTTCGGAACCGCTATCTCTTTCATCCCCAAATCATGTTTCATGTCTTCTGTCACAGGAGTTCTGTGCAAAACTTCAGTGCAAGCTTCTGTTGGTAGTGTAACACTACCAACACTACTAGTGTTGCGGCTCAGCATCGTGTTGCACATTCCCCACTCGGTTTGGACAACGCCGCTTATGCCTCGATGCTTGTCCTGTGACGGTCAGTGACCGTCGGTCACAGTGTGACCCCCTTGCCTTCCATCTGTAGTAGATTGCCGACCTGTACTCCATCTTGCACGTTATCATATCCAGTGTGAGAGTATATAATGCACGAAGATATGCTGGAAGATATGTGACGGTTTCGTGATGATGAGGAAGAAGACCAAGACATTGAGGATGGTTTGAGATGATATAATTGGCCCATCGCTTTAGTGATCATCCTACATACTGTTGCATTCTCCTCAGTGGTTCTTTCTTCCTCTGATTCACTCGCCCACTCGGGTTGTGGATCAAGTCCGTCACCATTCCTTCAACTCCAATCGACGAACTTGCGTTCACTAGTGACTCGGAGCACGAGAACTACTACCCAGTCAAGAAGATGTCTACAAGATCAGAGGGTGACCATAAGAGTGGTTCAACGTCCTCCGGTGTGACCGTTCGCTCATTTAAAGAGCTTTGGTGTGGCAGTGGCCCCAAAACGTCGGACAAGACTGGGGCTACTGATGTATTGGGAGTTGCTCTGCGTGACTCTGGTATCCGTAAGTACCCAAGTGCTACGTTCATCATCTATGACCAGGTGACCTTGGATGATGATATCACTAAAACGACATGGTGTAACAACATACCACAACTTTACGAGCACTACTCCTCGTATGGTGACCTAAACTATTTCAAGGCGTTGAGGGATTCGATGTATACGTCGAGGTTTCCTACGGCCTTCCAAAACTTGGTTCAGGAACTCCAAGTTAAGCACTCCTTACCCATCCCTGTCATTGTTTGCCTTCTTCTGCATGAGGCGTACGTTGGTGGTGATACTGCTCTCAAGCAACGAACTGAGGCTATTACTGTGCGAATTCTCCTGTCCGAGAACCCTACTGACTATCACACTGTCCTCACTGAGGTGAGCAGACATAACGGCCTCGTATCATCCCCTCTTTTGGACCTATCGGCGGTCACCAGTGATGCTCTACCGGGTCTATCAACATTATCTGATGATGACGCATGGTGTGCCTTTCTCTACATCCTGTCTAAATCATGGTGTTCTTTGTCGACCACTTCTACAAACCCTACCTCTGTAAGAGACTCGTGGTCGTCGATATCTCAGAAAGATCAAGAATGGGTTGAGACCTTCCTGGCAAGAGAATCTGATGTGTGGAATGAGATGGTCTCATACTACGAGTACAAGCGTATCCCACCGCCCAGTGAATATGATCGAGTCATCCAGGTCATAAAGGGTGTCAAGGGCGCGGTACGCACATCTCTATCGGATGATCTGAGAAGGGAAAGGGTCCTTGTTGAAGACATTTCCTATGCGGACATCGTTGGGAGACTTCTAGACATCGAGGCCAGGAGCTTAACCTACTATCCATGGGAGAGCACCAAGAAATCTGAGTCCAAAGGATCTCGTCCTAACCAGTCGAATGCGGCAGCGGACGGTACCACCTCCCCTTCGGCTACCGGGCTGAAGCCCCATGAGAAGTCGTCAAACAACAAGGGTCCCAAGAATGATCGGTGGTGCGACATCTGCTCGAAGTATGGTAAGCACACTACCGAGCGGTGCTGGGAGAATCCTAATACTACTGCTACCATACCCGATTGGTTCAAGAACAAATCCTCTAAGGCTTCTACCAAGGAGAAGTCCGACAAGCCGGTTAAGCCTGCTGTTACTGTGAAGGAAGAGGGGAGCGAGCCAAGCTCTGGTGGTCCTGAGGAATCGCAACCGCGATACAACCTCAGAAAGACAGAGCCCAAGAACTACAAGCCGGCCTTTTGCACCAGCCCTTCGCGTTCTTGCTCAGCTGAGACCCCTCTATCAGCTCTTGGATTTAGAGCCTATCTGACTGATGAGAACTCCGGTTACAACGACCACCCCTCTACTGTTGTGGCCATCGATTCCCTCTGCATACCCAACCTTGTTGATAGCTCGCGAGTCGAGAAGGGTTGGAGCACCGTCCGTTATGATGGAGCTAGCTATATATCGTCCTCTGGCCACTCCCTCGACATCAAGGCAGCTGTTGTGGTACCGGTCACTGTCTATCCGATCGACGATGAATCCGGATGTTCGATCGGCCCAAGAACCTTCACCGTGCAGGCTCTGGTAGTGGAAATGAGGTCCGTGCTGCTCAACTGCGGTCTCATACTCGGTTCTGACTCGCTGGAAAAAATGGGGGCCGTTCTATCCTTCTCGAGCAAGACGCTCTCAGTACGGGGTATCGGCATCATCAAGATAGCTTCTCTATCTGCTGTTCCTCGTCCCATCTGTAGCAGCCTGCCCACTGCAAAGTCCCTAAACGATGCTGACATGGACCCTATCGAGGAGAGATTCGAGAACTCTTCTCTAGAAGAGGTGGTCGACTTCTGTAGGGACAAGCTAGAAGGAGCATCTCTGCCTGCTCTCGACTTCGAGCTACGGCACGGTACTACCCCCTATCAGTCCCCATCAAGTTGGAATGTACCAGCGGATCTCGTCGATGCCACACATCGTACGATCAACCGGGAGATAGAGACCGGCCACTGGGTGGAGCTGGAGCCAACAAGCCTGGAGGCGGACGCTTGGGTCTCCAACGCCTTTGTCAAGCCTAAGGGTAGACTGGACAGTGATGGTTTCCAGGAGATCCGGGTTTTACTTGACCTTCGAAGGTTGAATCAGGCTGTGGACGTTCCGTCACATCTCAAGGATGGCCCACTGTTGCCAAACCCCGAGGATTTCATCCGCAACATCCCCAAGGGGACCACCCACTATTCGCTGGTTGATATCTCGTCGGCCTTCCATGGATGCAAACTCTCGTCGAGGGCCTCTCGGCTACTCACATTCTGGCTATGTGGGCGGCTCATCAGATCACTAACCTGCTCTCAAGGTCTGGCCCTATCTGCTCTTTACTGGGGGCGTCACTTGTGGTCGTCGTTTGAGCTCATCTTCACTCACTGGTGGCACCGCTGGCTCTCTATTTTTGTGGATGACCTCTTGATAAGGGGACCATCCGAGGCCCGGACCCGTCTCAGACGTAAACTGATAACGGGGGCCTTGATCGCTATGAAAAAGGAGGTCAGTCAAAAAGTGCCAGACACCGTCGACACCAAGATCGATGTGGTGGGTCTACACTTCGAAGATGGCTCCTATCGTCTCTCCGATGCCAACCTGGCCAAACTAATTGCTGCCATGGAGGCGGCCCCGAAGAACGGTGAAGAGCTGAGAAGACTATGTGGAACACTTAACTGGAGTATATCCGCTTTTGAGACGGTTCACTTCAATGACTTCGCCAAGGAGATGAAGACTCTCAACAGCCTGATAAATGTTAAACCGTTCCGTTGGAAGGATAGTAAAGGTCCGGAAGCCCTGGACAACCTGAGAGAGCTCATGAAGCCCCGGAATCTTGCTCTTCATGGCATGAATGATCTCGTGAACGGCGATTCAAGTGGCCATGTCTGGGTGGTTCACAGCGACGCCTCGGATGTCGCAGTGGGGGCCGGTCTCTTCCGGGCGTCAGCCGACAACTTCTACGGGCACGATGATGATATTGATGAGCGTATGCAGGGCGCAGTACTAGTTTCACTCTACAGTAAGGCTCTGTCATCGTCATCTCTCAACTGGATGACGTTCGAGAAAGAGTGCTATGCCCTATATCTAGCTGCGAAGAAATGGCTTCCTCTGTTCATCTCAACTACAAGGAACTCTAGTAGAAGCTCTCCTGATAGACTGGGCCCGCCAATAACCTTCTTGACCGACTCGACTACCGCGTTGAAGCACTGGTCTACTTTCACCTCCAGCCAGGACCCGTTCGGCAGCCTCAAGGGACAACGGTTTCTCTCATGGGCTAGTAATATATCTGCCCTAGCTTATGTTGACCACAACATAGAGCATCTTCCAGGCTCATCCAATACCCTAGCGGATATGCTATCCAGGATCGGCCATGACTTCCTGAAGACAGCTGCGGCGGAGAGCAACCTATCCAGGCCGGTATTCTCCTGCCTATCGGTTCCTGAAGATCACCAACTGGACTCGTCTGATGATATCTCGGTCATGGCTCAAGCTCTATCCATAGACGAATCGGTCTTCCAAGGAGTTAAGATCCGGGAGATATACGCATACCCCGAGCTTCAAGGGGGCACTATATCTGCCTTTGCCAAGACGAAGATTGAAGCCTGGTACTGCTCCGGACTCTTCAAGAAGGTCGACGACGTCCTCTATGTATTAGAAGTTCTGTTGACCCCTTCGGTAGATAATGATGAGACGAATTCCGAGTCCAGCACAAAGCACTACGTCTTGGTTGTACCTGAAGGTTGCCCTCCTATTGGCTCCTTGTGTCACACAGGGGTCGGCTCTCTTAAGCAGCAGGTGATGTACCTTGCTCACGACACCATCATGTCCGGTTCTACACATCATGGGAAGTCAGCCACCATCGAGAACATCTCCAAGTCATATTGGTGGCCAGGACTATCGTCCTCAGTTACCAACTACATCGCGAGATGCCCAGTGTGTGCCCATGATCCTAGGAAGAGTGTGAAACAATCCCCAATGAGGACTCCACCTGCCACGGCAAGATTCAAATCTATTCAGATCGACCACAAGGAGATCCCTGATGCTATAAAGGTGAGGTTGAAGGACCTCCCGAGGACGGCGTGTGTCTTAAATATAGTCGATCGCTACACAGGCTTCATGGCGTGCGAGCTAGCTAAAGATCACTCTGCCAAAGAATCGGCCTTCTTACTGGTTCGCCGATGGTTCAGCAGATATGGTCCCTGCCACGAGCTATGTAGCGATAATGGTTCAGCCTTTGTGGCGTCTCTCTCTTCTGTCATATCTGCTATGTTTGGGTATCGATTGAAGTACTCTCTACCCCGGCATCCACAGGGGAACAGCATGGTGGAGAGAGCTAATTCATCCCTATCCCTATGCTTTCGTGCTGTCGAGGAGAGTGGTGACTGTGATACCGCAAGCGATCTCAGTATACATATCGGTAACGCCGAGTTCTCCCATAACCTTCGCAACGGTGCCTTCAGAAGAGTTTACGGTGAGGATATTCCTTCAGCCTTATCTCTCTTCAATGTGGCAACTCTACGAAGAGGTCAGGTTGAAGGACACGTGGTGCTTGATGACAAGACTGAGGCCGACCTCGTGAAGCAAGTCACATTAGGCTGTACTCTACACTGCCAAGAGTATCAGGTTGAAAGGCAGCTACGTGGGCACTACAATCTATTCAGTAGGGTAGCGGCTAGTGCAACTAAATCCGGATCCAAACCGGTGTTCACCATAGGAGATAAGGTGATCTATGAGGGGACTGACGATGTAGTCACAGCTATATCCTTCTGCCGAGTGACAGGCAGGCCTATGTCACTAAAGCTTGCCAGTGGTTGTAAGGTCTCGCCGGAGTCCTGTTCCTTCGGTGGTGATGACAGAGTGATCTCGCAGCCAACGCTCTCAGCGAGTAGGGTCCGTCCAGAAGGTGATCAAGAACAAGGCCCGGAATTCTCTGCGGGAGACCGTGTGGTTTTTCTGGCTGAGGCTACTGATGCCAACAAGTATTACTCCATAGGTGTGGTGCTCTCAACTCACATCAGTGGAATGGTCGAACTTCACGAATTGGACGGTGGTGGTTCCCAGAAGTGTTTCCTCCCATTGTGGATCTCGACGAGTACATGCTCTAGGGCTCAGAAGTTTCAGCGTGGAACGAAATGTCCGCGAGGCTACACGGCGTCTACCGTCACGGTTCCGATTGGCGACGTCTTGTTCACGGTTGAGATCTCACCAAGGGGGATGTTGAGCGAAGCCTCAAAAGCGAGGCTCATCTCGTCTGCTATATATATGTGATTTAAATAAGCTGGTCGGCGTATCTTCCTCTCTGGGAGTGCGGCGTACTTTCCTACTTTGACGTACACCGACTCGGGGGCTCTGTAGTAGATTGCCGACCTGTACTCCATCTTGCACGTTATCATATCCAGTGTGAGAGTATATAATGCACGAAGATATGCTGGAAGATATGTGACGGTTTCGTGATGATGAGGAAGAAGACCAAGACATTGAGGATGGTTTGAGATGATATAATTGGCCCATCGCTTTAGTGATCATCCTACATACTGTTGCATTCTCCTCAGTGGTTCTTTCTTCCTCTGATTCACTCGCCCACTCGGGTTGTGGATCAAGTCCGTCACCATTCCTTCAACTCCAATCGACGAACTTGCGTTCACTAGTGACTCGGAGCACGAGAACTACTACCCAGTCAAGAAGATGTCTACACATCTAGGGGTCCGGCCTATTGGGCATGGGTTTCCTGAGGGAACTTTCCTCCAGCGGTGTGGAGGCATCCACTCCATATCTGGCCGCTCGTCCGCAGACCCCCAGACTTTTCAGGTTGTCCAGCCAAGGTCGTGGCCATCTTTTCCTGCACCGTGCTCTCAGTCCCTGCTGACCCCCTCGTTGGCAGTTCGTAGTCTTATCGTTCAGGTTCATACTGTTTTTAGAAAACGCCGAGGAGAACAAGTGACTTGGTGAAAAAGTTGAGGCTCATGCAGTGCCCAAAGATGAACACGCCCAAACTTAACCTCTTGAAGGTCTACTTCGCGTTAAGTAAGATCAATGCTTTAGTAAGGTCACATCTTGCCGCGTTTGTCCGCTCGCCCTGCGCAATGGATCTTACTAATCACGGAATACGCCTCGAAATCTTACTCGGCACGAATAGATGCATGTGATTCCCTGTGGTTAACTTTAGCGGTGTTGAAACTGGTTCCTGTTCATTTGTATGGTTCGGCTATACACGGTACTCCTCCACAGACCCGTGGTAAACTAGTCAACTCGGCTCAGCGACTTTGTGTGAAAATAAAAAAGTGAAAAAGTGTACGATTCTCAGATCGTGAGAACCACATCAGAACTCAAACTGATGTGGGGAGAAATAATTTCTTCGGATTCAATAGGTGGGAAAGGCCTTCTAGAGATTCTTCAATTGCCAAGTCCCAAAAATGAAAATTATGGTGGTGGTGAGCTCTACATCAATCAAGCAGACCCCTAAGCGTCCTATTGCACCCTGAAGGACTCGCATTCACGTGGGTACCGTTGACTGTCAGAGTGAACGAATCGCGAGTACGGTCGTAGGGGATCACCCGCCACTCGGCCGGTTTGAAATGCAACTCCTCTGCGAAATTAGTGAAGTTCTTATCCTTGATGTCCAAGTACAGATTCCTGTGCTCGCCGTCAACAGTCCATGGGATAACTCCAGTCCCATTGACGATCAAGTCGAGGTCGACAAGGAGAAAGTAGAGAATGGATACTTTTTCGGGAGCCGACGGATCGAAGATGAAGATTGCTGCGAAGTTGCCACCCGACTCAGTGCAGTATACTGGCTCAGGGGGAAAGGTCCGGGCAATCGACAGAACACCGAGTAGGATGACGATGGTAAAGATAACGGACATTTGAGTGGTGATTACTACTCCTGACGGAAACTCAATACAGCCAGAACCCAGCTATCATAATCGAATTACGCGATAATCAACCCTAATGCGTTGTGCAAGTTGATTGAGGTGTCCTGGAACGTACGTACGAACCCTGCGACACGCAGACTGGACCGCAATGATTTCAGCGCAATCGCACAACATTGTGCTGTTACTTCACGCGCCAATGCATGACAACGAGAATGGCATATCATAGGAAGGACATACGGTAGGAAGTGATTCCTAGTAGCGTAGTCAACATAAAGTTCCCATTGTGAACGGGGAGTTCAATATTCACCTTCGGATATTGCGATGCTCTGCACTGAAGTTCTGCGGCCGAACTTCAGTGCGATAAGTTATCGCAGAGTCAATTCACGCGCCTGACTTTGTGCTGAGTGTAATGGTTCAGAATCGAATGAACGAATAAGAGGGAGATGGCGCTGTAACGCTGCCGGAGAACACGAACGTATAACCTCCGCTACATTTTCTGTAATGCTATTCTTGACAGCAAGTGTTGACGATGCGTATTGAAGGAAATGAGCAGTTTTTCTGTCGCAGTTGAGCATCAGTGCACACGTGGATATTGCACAAATATGAACCAATAACGCACGCGATATCCGCGGAAGAAGCACAGAGGTGATAGTTCAATTACTCTATCAAATTGCTATGACAAGTGAGGCTGATAACTCAAGTTGCTGCATTCTCGTGTACAAATGATACGATGCTGGTACTACGCACATTCGTGAAACTTGAGCTCAAATTTGCGTCCCTGAAAAGCCTCGAGCTGCACTTCCACCTCAGAGGGAGCATGTCATGCACGCACAGGACTTGATGACCAGAGCGACTCTGACAGAGCCTTAACGTCTCGGAATTATACGACCGGAGTCGGCGCCAGTACATGAGTGTGTATGCAACATATAACTAATTTGGGGCATATTTCACACAAAACACTCCTCAGGGTGCGCATTGGATTTGGGAGCAAGCGGTAAGGAGCCGTAAATCCTACGCGAGGGGCGTTGGACCTCGTGTTTCTCGAAGGAGCCTCTTTATGCGGGCTTGTGAAATGTGCCCCGGTCTGCCCTCCTTGCCTCCTTCTGTTGCGACAGTCCCCTCCCCCCATGTCAAGTTCACTGTGAACTGTTCACATGTAGATCACGCTGAGGGTCTCCCACATGGTGCCCAGATCGTGTGCTGGCGCAGACCACAACGACGCATGTCAATGATTCTCTCGAACTTCACCATGAGCGCTACGCGAGTCCAGAAGCTCGGGGAAGTCGTTTTATCTAGCTTTGGAGACTAGGTCTCCATGACCTGGTCATGGTCAACGTAGCGAGGAAGCTTGGAATCGGTGAGGAAATCTCCGATTCTTCGCCCATAGTCAATGTGGTTCATCCTTCTCGACTAGCTCATTTCTTGGATATTTTGGTGCTGGAGCTCGAGCATCCCTCCGATTCAAGATTCTCTCATCGGATTACTTGAAAAAAAGACGAGTTCAGTGACTTGGTGGAGAAGTCGAGGTCGATGTTGTGTACAAAGATGGACATACTCTACACCTTTTAAAGACCTCTTCCGCGTTCCATAAGCTCGATTCCGCAGGGCGAGCAATCATCCGAGCCAAGATGCCTTAGTAGGATCAATTTCGCCCGCGCGCTCGATAGAAAAATCAATTCTGACGACACGTGTCATTAGTACAATCAATTTTGCCGGCATGTCTGGAGTAAGTTCAATTCCGACGAAAGGCGGGAATCGATTCCGCTGATAGTATAATTGCAACGACGTATAAATCGCATACGAACCACTCGACAACATGTTCACCCGAGTGGCCGTGTTGATTTCATTATGTCATTCCTGTAGGAGGCTATCGTGGTCAAATAAGGAACTAAGATGCACATCAACAAGTGAATACGACAAGGATCCGACCAGTCAATCGATTGGCGATTCGCGGACAGGACAAAATTAATATTCGCCTCCCAGGCTGCAGCATCGATGAAACCCTTCCGGATTCATCTCAGCAGCTGAGACTCAGCATGATTGGTTCATGTTATTACTATGTACTATGTTATATGGTATAATATATTATATAAAGGTGTGCCGAACCCGTATGTATTCATTGTGCGAGGATGAGCCTTACAGTATTGTCTGTGCGTTCACTGAGCATTAATCGTGTGACCTTTCATTCTTCACCTCCTTGGATACAACTCCCACGAGAAAGATTGCGACAAGTTATTGAAAAGTCTTTGTCAGGATTCAGCACCTCACATCCTGATTGCACGATTAACTCACAACAGCTGTGACGAGGTTTGAGACGCAAACTTCGAGCGAGTTGGCGCCATATTGAGAACAAGGCTACTAACACGGTAACCGACATTGCATCATAAGAGTAACGATCATGCCAAAACCCCCCTTTGAAATGACTATTACGCTACTTCAACAGCGCGGGTCACCGTGACTAGGATTCACAGCATACTTCGAGTTACGACACGAATGGTGTCACACGATTACGTGTTGGATTGGGTACCGTTTACGGAGGAAGTGAGTACATCACCACTCCTGGTGTGAAGTATTTTCTGCCATTCGATTACACTCACATGGCCTGAGAAAAGTCGGTGAAATTCGTGTTCTTGAATCAAGATGATGTGGATGATGAAACGGTGGCCTTCCATACCCCTGGCAAACTAACCAACTCGACTCAGTGACTTCGTGGAAAAGTCTAACCGCCCGTTCAATAGACAAGGCTACGCGCAGTTCTGGAAACGTTGCTGAGAATCGATTTTAAAAAACGCTTCTGAGATGATGTTCAATAAACACGATTTTGAAAATCCACAAGCGATTCTGGAAGCGATCCCAGAAACGATTCTGACAAGTGCTCAACAAACGCAATTTTAGAAATCGCTCCCGGAAACGCTTCCAAAATCGTGATATAAATACACGAATACTGCTAACCCCGGGGATCGAACCCGCGGTCTACGACAGCGCACTTTCATTCTCAAGATTTGTTGCGTAACGCAACCTGCATTGCGTTGTTCACATTGACATTTGTTGCGTTTCATAAGCTTTCCAATCGTTCGTAATGCCCAGTCGTACGAACGACTTGAACGTTGCCTCGAACGTTGCCAGTTCAAGCTACGAAGGTTATCGAGGCGGCGGTAGTTCTCCACAACTTGTGTATACGCAGAGGGTGGGAGTCGTTCAATGCCATCGACTACATTGACCCCGAAATCCGCAGGGCCATTCGGGACGAAAATGATATGAATGAACCCTTGGGCGGTGATGGCTTGGTTGAGGGTGGCCTTCAAGGGGTCGAGCAGCTGCTTTTGTGGGAGGACCCCAATCTGGCAGCGTCTTTTTTGGCCCTCATGAGGAACGGTGATAACAACAATGACGTCGGTAATGACAATTAACATGATGATGATGAATTGTTTCTCGTAAAAAGTCGCTTCCAGTTGCGTTCAGTTGCGTCGTGGTTAACAAAACAAGTTGCATACCGCCAAAAATTAGCTTACACACGACAATAGAACCACATCATTCATCATTCACATTGCAAATACTGACACTACAATCAATGAACCACTTAGTATTACAAGCAACATATGAGAAAAGGTAAAATAGTAATAGGCTGCTACTACCAGCCTTAACTAAACTCAATCTAATTGTTTCAAAAAAACTTTTGCTCCCAAGACAGCTAATGGGAACTACACTAAGGATAACCCAGCAATCGGGCCGCAAGTTCATCTAAAACAGCATCTGCAAGGCTTGATGATACGGGAATCGGCTCCCCTGGTTTCTTCAGCCTTGCTTCGTAAATAGCAATCTGTAATACCACCTTCCTTTCCCTCAGTCTAGAGAGCGTTAGCTGAGCTAACTTAGCTCCTCACGCAGTGTCAGCTCTTCGAGAGTTTCAAGCTCTCTTTGTAACTGGTTCAAGAAAGGAAAAGGAGTGCAACTCCTCCTGGAGAAGTAAAAAGGAGCTTTTCCTTGTGGAATCTACGAAGTAGACAGCAAAGTCACGCGCCACGAAATGCTCAGAACCACTCCAGGCCATTCTGAAATTCGCGGTTCTGGAACTGATTTCGGAAACGCGCGAGGACGCTTTTGAACACGTTCAAAAATGATTCTGGAAATGATTCCAGGATCGTTCCCAGAATCGATTCTATGAACAAGATTTAAGAAAATCGTTTCTGGAAACGATTCTGAGCTTCAGAATTGGTTTATTGAACGGGCGGTAAAATGTGAAAATTGAAGGATTCACAGAACGTGAGAGAACCACGTCAGAACTCGAATTGACCTCCCTTAAATATATAGTTCTGAGTGGGGAGGAATCATCTATTCGGATTCAATGGGAGATGCCTTTTTCCAAGGTTCTACAATTGCCAAGTCCCAAAAATAAAAATCATGATGATGGTGAGCTCTACATTAATCAAGCAGACCCTCAAGCGTCGCATTGCACCCTGCAGGAGTCGCATTCATGTGGGTACCGTTGACTGTCAGAGTGAACGAATCGCGAGTACGGTCGTAGGGGATCACCCGCCACTCGGCCGGTTTGAAATGCAACTCTTCTGCGAAATCAGTGAAGTTCTTATCCTTGATGTCCAAGTACAGATTCCTGTGCTCGTGGTCAACACTCCATGGGATGACGCCAGTCTCATTAATGGTCACGTTCCCGCTGACAAAAAGAATGGCGACAATGACTACGGTCCTGGGAGCGAATGGATTGAAGATGAAGGCTGCGTTGAAGTAGCCACCCATCTCAGTGCAGTATGATGGCTCTGGTGGAAAGGTCTGAACCATCGACAAAACCCCGAGTAGGATAATGCTGGTAAGGATAACGGACATTGGAGTGGTGATTACTGTTTCTGACGGAAATCATAATCACGTTATATCATAGTCAACCATGCTGCAGTGTGCGAGTCGATGGAGGTGTCGGACACCTGGTGTCCAAGCACGTGATTTCCGCGCAATATAAACGTGCGCACAGATACTCAACTGTAGCAGGAAGGAACTGCTCACGTCCTCCAATTCACATCGTCAACACTTACTATCAAGAATAGCAAGGCCGCTAAAGTCGCAGAAGTGATATGCTTGGGCAGTCTGGCATTGTCAGACTGCCGTGTTCGCCCTATTCGTTCATTCCACTCAGCACTTGTGCGCGTCAATTGACTCGGAGTTCAGCGCAGAGTATTGCATTGCAATAAATGCAACTCCACACGTGAATAACGGAGTCCCCTTTCACAACGGGAACTCAAGGTAGAATGTACTACTAAAAATCACTTGCTACTACATCGGTGAGCCCGAGATATACCATTCTCATTGTCATGCTTGAAGTGCGCGTGAAATGACAGCACAAGTATCAACCAGGAACGGACGCAGTAATAAATGATTTTGTGGCGATTAGCAGAGCGAAGCCTAGCGGAGCGTAGCACTGATTACCCTACCATCTGACCTTGTGGGTTAAGATGATTCAAATGGGCGAAAGTGGGTTTCCCCTCCCACCCTCCCAGTAGAGGGATAGCTTCAAATTAATTGTAGTTCAAAAAACATGTCGTTCTGGCTTAAAGTTGTTTTCTGCTGCTCTTTACTCCCATAGACGTCGGTGGTCAAGCACCGAGCCAAGATAAGCTTTTGTTCGTCTGCAAAAAGCCTTGAATCGGATCTCTGTCCCAGAGGGAATATGTACCATGCACGCACCGTTGGCAAGCTCTGGGAGAGTTCTATGTCAAGACGTAAAAGTAACTAGTCTCACCTTTAAAAGGGTATTATTATGCGGAAGCAGAATGGTATGGTCAAATGATAGATTGGACGTACCAGAAAGGTCAACCAAAATAGAACATGGAAGTAAAACCTTAAATCGCAGACATGGATGGCCATCGAAAGGCCTCTCCTCAGTTTACTTATAATCATCATGTCCAACAAACACTGGCAGTCATCGACTCTCAAAATGGATTCCTCGCTCGACACGAACTAGCTCTATCGTACGGAGTATTCATCATTCGCGACTCAAGAGAACTAGGCTAGGCTTAACTGCAGATTAACACAGACTAGTATCACCGTCGAAGCCAGCTAAGCGATTGCCGCTTTGGATCTGCCGGGCCAACTCTGCCGTTGAGCGGATGAAGCAGTTTAATGCACTTGTGTAGGTGCATGGGGCTCTCAAAGCTGTACCATGTCCGCAGCTACCGCTGTTGAGATCAATAGATATCACAAGAGTACAGAGTCATCCTAAGGCCAACACCATGGCAGTTCTATTATAACTACAGTGATCGCCCCCCACTTTGTTGCTGCTGCTAACAATCTCAGCGATGAACTCAGGATGTACCACGAAGCCCTCCACACCAACATCCATATCGGTCAACGGTGTTTCGTTAGCTTTCGATATTGAAGACGTCACACACTCATCAACGGCCTCAATGCTGTGCTCCAAACTTGACGCCGATCGACGAGGTGTGAATACCTCAATAAACAGGGGACGAGAGAAGACGAAACAATTGTGATAGCTATAGAGAATGAAATGAAAAGAGGACAGAAATTGCATAACCGATTCACACTTGGCCAGTCGAAATCATCAATACACTATTGTCGCCAAGTATTTTAACTGTTAAAGTTGTACTAAAGTATAACACAACAGAAAACTGATACGAGAAACGTGTGGTACGGAAACATCCAGAGACATGAATTCAACACGACTCCTTGACCTCCGTACCCCGCAGCTCGACGAGCTCAGGCAGCCCTAAATGTCGAGGCAAATGTCGACTCAGCCATGTAAGCCTCTCATTAGCACTCGGAAGGCTTTCCCACGTTTGGAAAGGCACCTGGATCACCAACAACTTCTCAGCAGTATACAACTTTAATACTCAGCGATGGTATCTAAGTTCGTTCTCCTCAGCTGAGCTCAGAAGTTTCCTCACTGATTGTCGGAGTTGAATATAGAACTATATATGAATTCGAAAAAAAAGTACACAGAAACCAACGAGGATTCCTCGCGATTTCCTCAGAATTTATATATTGTCGTCCACACATGTGCATACTTTCCCACACTGATACCAATACACCGAGCTCACCAGCGCTAAGTTGAATCCCATCTTCCGTATAAGTATATGCCGTACTCTGCTCCGCGAAGTGAGATGTGTAGTCTTGGCCTGAGTGCCAAACCATAACGCTGACCGATGGCTCTTCAGTCGATCAGAATATACCCGGCGAGTTGTGTTGTGATAGATGCGAAGTATTTTACAATCTTCATTGCCCTATGACTAGTATTGTGTATGCGTACGGAATATTGTTCAGTACTGGTCTATTATCATAGAGTAGACAACCATTACACGCATACACATAAGATGCGACTTCTACACTAACCCCTCGTGAACTGATGTTACCAGTGGGCTTGACAGCTACCCAAAACATCATAATATACTCGAGTTAGACTGGGACTATCGAATTCGGACAGCGTGCCGAAGACTTGTGTTCTTCGCCCAGTTTAACTCTATAACGATTCGTCATCGATTATGATAATACATAATGATATATTTCTTGCGCTTGGAACTCAGAATGTCCGCGATCTCGGATTCCTAATCATTAGCGAAATCTTTCCGTTTCGGACCATCAAAATTGGACACACTGTATTTCTGCTTGACACCGCCACTGTGCTCGAAAGCAGCAGCTAGCGTCATTCAACTCCCCATCATAGACGGCGAAGCGAAAGTAGTTTCAAAAAGTCAGAATTAATACCATACAGCAGCATAGTGGAAAACATTAATTTTTAGAGTAAATGTATTTCACAATTAATGCCAATACGCATATGGTCAACTACATGTGTCGAAGACAATAAGAAAATTCCGAAAAAAATCTCGTTCTTTTAGGATTTACATCTACACTAAGTCGTGTCTTAACTTCTATATCGAACGCCTAAACTAGGATAATGACCTTCCAACACAAGTGCATGTCCCCATGCACATAGCGCCAGTGTTGGGAAAAATATATGTTCGCTTTCCTCACCTGAGCTCAGAAGTTTCCTCACTAACTATACAAGTTTACATACAAATTCGGGTAGAAGTGTACAGAAACCTACGAGAATCTTAACAGAATTTGTTCACAATATCAATACCATCACCAGCACATCTAGTCGACCACTCGATATCGCTTACATAAAACTGCCACTCCGGGCATACTTCAATGACTGTATTCGTTGCAGCGTGGAACATATCCAAATTGAAAGGGCCCGCTTTCACTCCTATCATCAATTCCAAACCTACTCCGACGAGCAGCTCGGCTACTTCCCCTGACACAAGTGCGCTCATCTCAACCACAGTACGAACCGACTCACCATGGAGCTCGCAGCTCAATGCTTTTCGCTGAGTCTTAATTTTCTTAACCGCTAACGGTCGCGCTTTTTCACCGTATTTTTTCAATCTTTTCTTGTACTTGTGCAGCTCTTTCCGCTGCCTTTCCTTCGACTTCTTCTTCTCCCCCTTTAACCGCTCGCGCTCATCCTCGGCACTCTCCTCGTCACTTCGCAACTGATTCGCACACGTTCACGTTACCGCATATCGCAAGGCCAACCCGAACTGTGAAAAATACAGTTTTTTACAAGTCCATCTCTACACTTTAGAATTCATTACACATCGCTAGAGTTATGCCCGCATTCGAAAACCGAAAATGAACGAAGTACCGCATGCCGGATCCAGGGATCGAACCTGCGACCTACCTACATATACTTAAAAACACCACCCAAGACAAATTGTCAAGAAGTAACAGTAACCGCGGGTTGAAAACAATCAACTATGATAATTCCGACTTACATCGCGGAGGAACTCCTTCACATTATCATCCAATTGTTCCCAAACACTTTCCTCCTTACACAGTCGTACATACATCTCCACCACCTGTAAATGCCTACTGTACCTAAAAAGCATCAACCATTCCGTTGCCAAATTCCTCATACCTATACCGTAAATCGCACACATCAATTTCGGATAAAATTCAACATTCGCCCGAATTCTACACTACTAACAAAGCTGACTCGACAGATCAATGCCTACAGCCAGTGTTGGAATAGATTTTCGCTTTCCTCAGCTAAGCCCCGGAATTCCCTCATTAATCAAAGTATACCGATCAGCGGAGTTTACGTGAAGTGGCGTATAACTCGGTGGAAAACGCCATCGTGAGATATGTTTTTCACTAGTGTTTTTCATATCACTAGGGTGGTGAAACTCCAGTGTAGAATTGCCGAAAAACCAACAAGAATTTCCCAAAATTTCCTCGAATTTTTTCCATTGTCACCAACACATGTAGTTGGCCATGCGTATTTTCCCCCACTCCTAACAGCGGGCGACTCCAACTGAGCTAAAATACAAACACTCCTGAATACTCCACATGCATATAAAAACATGTTGTTAATAGTGATATAATGCTACTACTAATTCCCGTTGTTCACCTCATATCACTAAGCTGTTCCCTCTTCACTGCCTCCGCCCGATACAAGTAGTTAATCATAGTAGCATCATCAAACATCTCCACAACCTGAGGAACCCCGCGACCAGCACGAACCACGATCAGCCCGAACCAATCAAACGGGAAATCGAATCCTTCTCCTTCCCTTACTGTTATCCACTTGATATTCATAAACTCCTTCACAATGAGAGTATTTTCACACACTGCTTGCGACAAAGCGATCGCCAGAGGTTTACACCTGAGCCTACCCGGTACCCACATAAACCATCAAGTTATCACCAAAACAGCCAACCATATGACGAAAAAATGAAAAAAAATTCCGCGATTTTTTCATGATAAGTGCCTTGCCATGTTAGCAAGACTCAGTCGTCTTTTATACTGATCTGCTGTCTTCGCTCCGCCTTTTTCGTTTTTTTACTCGAACATACTATAACAAAAATTCAACCATAAATATTCACAATTAATAACAACGGTAATCTAGAAACCGGAAAATTTTTCCTATTTTCCCGCAAATTTCCCCCCAGTTTTTTCACCAAAGCTGAGAAGCAAGGTCGAGCTTAGCCGCCGAGTTAGCAGCTTTCACGAGGATCTTGTGCGTCACCGTCGGCCAAGTCAATGCCGTTTTTTGTAACATCATTACTAACCTCTCATCCCTGTACTGCAATCGAGAAAGTGCCTAAATTCAACAAGGTCAATGAATATTAGATAATACTTCATAATATAACTATATATTATACTAGTGTACTGGAGTTTCGCCAGTTTTACGTGAAGTGGCATAATACTCTGTGAAAAACGCGATATTCGCGATATACAGTAGTCGTGAAATATATTTTTCATATCTCGAGTGAAACTCCAGTGTTATCATCATGAATAATGTTCTACGATGTCTCAGTAGCTGCCATATACGATCTCACCTGCATCAGATGACAGAAATTCTCCGGTTTCATCTCGCCGAACTTCACCGCACATGCCGACAATAATGTACGGTAGTACGGTACAACCCGACGATTATATATTCGTACAGATGCTGCAGCTTGGAACACTCTCAGCAGCGATCGAAAATGGCACTGAAAAAATAGGAAAAAACAATAATTTTCCTTAACATTTTTCACAAATTTTTTCCTATACATGCGCTTCACCAACCACAATTCCCTCAGAAAAATTACCAGAAATTTTCACATGGCGTGAAAATTTTTTTCCTTTTTCCACATATCACCTTATCAGAAAGCTGCGCCGCTCGCTTCAAGTACGCCTCCCATAATGCCTCGTTCACGATCAAGTTGGAATTCTGATTCATTTTATGCGCCTAAAATAAGCCATAAACACCCTCGAGCACTTCGTTGCAGGGAATAATACAGAAATCGAGCGGGGGAACTCATTTTGAATTTTCCACGTATGGCTTTGAGGAGTTCCTCGATTTCTGTCAAACGTTCCTATGGCCTACTGTAAATGACCAAGTGCCTCTGGTGCATAACTCTGAGGACCTTATGACGTTCGACAACAAACTGTGGGAAAAGTAAGCAGGGAATCATCCAGAATGTTCCCGGGGAAAACTCATTTTGAAATCCCCACAGGGCTAGGAACACATTCTTCAATCAGTTTCCTATGTAAATGTCATAATCACATTAGCAACATTTTTCCCATTGTTATCAAACTCTGAAGAATATCATTCCTCAAGGCTAAACGTATCCCTGCCTCGTTGAGCATGTTCCGCTTGAGCTCCTTCGTACACATAAATGGCACCGCCAGAGGATCAGAAGAGCGATAATCCTTCTCGTACCTACCACATACACGCAAATGATAAACTCAGCAATGTCGGTAGATTTATACACTAAGATGCGTAGAGTCTACGCAAATTCTCCAACGATTGTCTACGCCGTAGACAATCGTTGGAGAATTTGTCCCGAGTGCATGAATAAATTTATAGTATATTTATATAATGGAATAGCACCCGTCTTACGTGAAGTGGCGTAAAACTCGGTGAAAAACGCGATATTAGCGGTGATATGCAGTAGTCGTGAGATGTGTTTTTCACTAGTGTTTTTCATATCACTAGGGTGAAACTCCATTGATAATTATAGAGAATGGCTTCAGTCCGCTACGCTAAGCTAGGCTAGCGTAGTGCAGTTGCATGATGATATAAATAGATACAATATCGTTTCCAAGTATCTTCTAGTGTTACCTTCCCAAACTAGTTGCGGAGCGAAGCGAGCGGAGCTATATACTGCAATTCGGATCATCTCAAGTGTGCATGCGTGCAAATTATTTCTCACCAACCAGGGAGAATTTCAACACGGCTAAAGAACCACTCGAAAGCTAAATAGACAGCTACTCCTAGAAAAATATGAAAACTTGAGTGTGGTGCATCCCTGACAACATACATTGAAAAACGTTATTTTTTGTGCGAAAAATACCGAGCCTGGGATTCGAACCGGAGATGTTACATGCCGCGCGTCACAGGACTGAACACGACCGACAATCTAACTTCATCAAATTTTAGACTGAAGTTCGCTAAACCCATGGCGAGCTACGCCATCTCGTCGGGAAGGCCTAGTGTACGCGAACCCTCTGCAGAAGAGCATCACCTGTTTTTGCATGATTTCAGCGTTTTCGAATTCGTTACTATTCACTCACGACGATCCCAATAAGAGATTACAACAATAATTTCAATACCGTAAACTCCACTAATCGTCCACCTCCCTAAGCTAGGAGCACCCCATTTCCACTCCACGTGCTGTTCCCAGTTAAATTTATTACCAGTAATCTCTGGCACGCACGAGTTTCTTTCTCTTCAATTTCTTCCTTTCAAAATCGGCACTATCTTCGCCGTTTTCCGATGGCGTGCCCAACTTGTCCGCGTGCTGACACAAAAAATGTCATTTTCCCTGTGGAATTTACTAAAACTTCAAAGCTAGCTTTGTGCTCAGCGGTCCTTTACGTCACATAACCATTTAAAAAATGGTGAACACCATCAACCTCCTCGCCCTTGCTCACCCATACTGCTAACATTTCGCGAAAATTTTGGAGCTGTACATTACGCGCGATCTAAGGAGTGCTAAATTCTCAACTAGAGCTCAGTGCAGCTAGATTCTCGTACATAGACTAGGCTGTATATATATAAACACTCATAGATATTCGTCCTGAGCAAAAAATTCCGATGATGAAAATTCAACTGCACGCAGATGTGCCATACACATAAGGCGGGTACCGACCTCAGCTATTATCTTGTTCACCAGATTCTTGTTACCATCCAAGCCTCTTTCCCGATCCTTAAAGTACCTAGTCGTAATTTTTTTTCGAAAAAATTTTGTTTTTTCTTTCGCTTTTTCAGTCATAGGACAATCACGTCACTTTGCGTAATAATCTGCACTCCATCCTTTAGGATTTTTTTGCAGCGGCTCGAAAGGATTCGGCAATCGCCTTAACTTGGGTATTCGTGGCGCTACTGTACCTATGAACTCCAGTGTGTGGGGGAATATATGCTCGCTTTCCTCAGCTGAGCCTGGGAGTTTCCTCACTAGTTGTAGGAGTTTATATACGAGATCAATGAGAATTTCCCAAAACTCCCTCAGAATTTTCATATTGTGGTTGACCATACGCATACATCGTGACATAGTAAACACGACAATTCAATTCAGTCTAAATTACTCAACGTTTTAAACGGAAATTATAGCACAATATAAACAGTTACTTCTAATACAGGCATGCTTACCTTTTGCTTCTTGAGCATGCACTAGAGGGCTCTTCCCTCGACGTTCCACTGCCTTCGGTCGGTAATAATGAGGCTTCAACTGTCTATCCTGTAGGGCCGGTACAGTATCTACTACCTCAACACTGCGTACGGCTGAGCTCAACTACAACTACTACTACTATTGCTACTACTGCTACTACTGCTACTATTGCTACTACTACTACTACTATTGCTACTACTACTATTGCTACTACTATTACTACTACTACTACTACTACTACTACTACTACTACTACTACTACTACTGCTACTACTACTACTACCACTACCACTACTACTACTACTACTACTACTACTACTACTACTACTACCACTATTACTACTACTACTACTACTACTACTACTACTACTACTACCACTATTACTACTACTACTACTACTACTACTACTACTACTACTACTGCCCACCTTCATCTCGATACCCCTCGTTTCTAGCAACCTCATCTAGCTCCCTTATAGATGAGCCCAACGCCAAGCCTTTGGTCGGCATCACCTAATAGGACCTCAGTCGAGTCTGAACTGATAGCGATAAAAGGCTTACTGGGAAATCGCCATCTTGGCGACAGACCTCCGGTTTGATATAACGCGGGGCCTTCTTTTTCACCTTCTGGTATTTCTTATTAACCCTACCAGCAAAACGCCGCACTGAAGTCCGATGAGTTATAAGCTCCCATGGTGAATTTCGGAGTAGTAGTAGGAGGACCATTTATACAAAAAAAATCTTATCAACTTTGCGCATATTCCTCAACGTTTTAACGCGTGCAAAAACGTCGTATCTTTGGAAAATTTTTCTCGGGTATAATCGTCGTGAATATTTCCGCACGGAGAGTTATTTCATTTATCCATCATGTCTGTATGATTCACCCTCATACAAAACCCTTTGGAACAGGTAAACGTATATGATCGGGGTAACTACACAGTATCGCCATTTCCCTCAGTTCAACAGTCTGAGACGGCTCGACAGAGGCAAGCTAAACAGGTGCCCGTAAGGGGCTTTCGAAATGCAATTCCACAAACTTACAATCAATTCTAGAACTACCTCTGAGTTTAAAAATTGAATTATTGAGCATCTTGATACGCATTAGCACATAAACGTTGAAGGGCCTTCTCAGGCATTGTACCGACTGGACCAGCACGCAGACACTCTGAGCATAGCGCGGTTCCGCGAGACTAGTCGCGAGCAGAGGTGTCACTCGAACGGTCTGAGGTCTCGCGACCACTCCAATTTCATCTCAGAGGGAATGCGTGGCAAATTGAGTTCGGATATGTACAACGAGAAGCTCCTGAGAAACAGCCTCAAACTGCTCGAGAGCTGAGATCAGCAGATCGCGATATGAACCATACTCTACCAAACATTCGAATGTCGAAAGCGCGACTTTCGAACCGACTCTCGTAAGACTCCCGCATCGCTTTGGCGTTATTCGTGCAAACTACCCTCGACAAATTCTGTTTGTCGCGATGAATAGAAAAAATTGACAACTTTTCTAAGAGTGAGCCGTTAGGGAACCCGACCAGTATGAATATGATGATATATGAAAATTCTGAGAAAATTTCGGGACAAAAATCTTGCTGGGTTCTGTACATTTCTACCCGAATTTTTATAATTAGCGTGGAAACTTCTCAACTCAGCTGAGGAGACCGGACATATATTCCGACGCTGATTCCAATACAGCTGAGGAGTTTGTACTCGTTCGTTCCTATTCAGTTCAGCTTTGATCGCTCTGTTGAAGTAACCGACTCGCAATAAAGTTTATATCATCACTCGTATGTGTTGGAATCACATAGTCTCAGTGGGTCTCTCGATCAACGTACATATTTAAAGCCATCGATAAACCGAGTTAATCAATTCATTCGAGTTTCACCCTAGTGATATGAAAAACACTAGTGGAAAATATTGCACGACTACTGCATATCGTTGCGAATATCGCGTTTTTCATCGAGCTTCACGTAAAACAGGTGAAACTCCATTATTAATCAATTAGTTCAGTGAAGTCTCACCCGTTTTACGTGAAGTGCCGAAATACTCGGTGAAAAACCCGATACTCGCGGTTATATGCAGTAGTCGCGAGATATGTTTCTCATCTCACTAGGGTGAAACTCCATCCAACAATTCATTTATCGCGATGACATAAGCCTTGTACCGACAGTATCATCGAATCACCGTTTATGCGATTGTGCTTATCTGCTTCAGAGTGCCTCGACCGTTCCAGCAAGGGAAACTCGAGGGTCGGCGCAGGTCAGTTCTCAGAAAGCTTTGCTCGAGTTGCAATATTATTCTCTCGAGATATCGCATATCAAAGTTCGACTTCGGTCAATCTAAAGAGCGCAGGAAGAAAAAGACCAACGATGAAGACAATTCGTTCACCAGTCCATCCACTAGAAAACTGCGAGAAATGCAGTAAACCTCACTTAGTCTCTACACAGGCTTACATCGGCTACAGGCACTTGATGCTGAAGTCCACCCCGAGATCATGGACACAGGAGTTCCAGAAATGGTACCTTACAGATAAAGAGGATGAATCTATGCACTGCTCTCAGGCGTAACGGTGACACGTCTCGTCGGCAAGATGACATCCCTCGTATTGTCGTACACAAGGCGCAACCTCAAGATTCCAACTCAGAAGTGACTAGAGCTTCTAGCTGATGAAAAACTCAGTTTCTGTGTCTTCCTAGCTTTTGCTCGGGGAGAACCAAGGCCGTGTTCCAGTGGCACGATCAACACGAGCTTCCCGACTGAGAACACAATGGTTGAAAGAATCGATGAAACTCTATGGAAATGACGAACTCAGTCGCCTTCCATCAGCGCGTATGCTTTCTCGAGATTGTGAAGGTCTCAGCCATGCATCGTCTCAGGCGATTCGCCACTACGTGTTAAAGCGCCGACCTCTGCTCGTCCAAGCACGGTGGCGCAATCGTCGAATTCGAACTTCTTTTACGATACCAGAACAGACTGGGTCGCTCGTAATCTGAAGTACTCGGTAGGAACAGTTCTCTTGTGGAGAGGATATGATGTTCGACTAGGTTGACCCTCTCCTCTGTCATAGTCGTGACCATTTGAAGAGATTGAAGTACCTCACTTCTCACAGGCTGAGATATCCCCAAAAGGTGCGCTCATCGACACTACCGACTAAGGGGGAATGAGCATCGATACGACATTTCGGCTGGGTTGTTGATGCACCGATGAAACTCTCTTTAACGATGTGTTCCCATGTGATTGTCGTTGTCGCTGCATCCAGTTGAGTTGTAGTTGATCGAAAGTACTGACGACAGAGAACATGTGTTTTTTGTGGGGACTATGCTCCGGAAGTTGTAGTTCTTTTGAGCCAACTGGTCGACAACTTCGCCGGTCGGTCTCAATATACAGCGTTGGTGGATAACACTCGCGAAACACATCACAGCGTTTCCCAACGTGAAGTGCGTTGCCCGGAAGAGCTATAGTGCTGAGACATCACAATTCTCTTGATCGACCCTTACTGATGCAGTCCTGGCCTATGCGAGTGGTTTTCAGTGCAACCTCTGGTACTGGCTATCGCCGGAGATTCACTGGATATTGGGTTTATTTTATAGGAGCAAATTGCGCCTTCAACTCCAGTAACGCCTTGAGTATACCTCAAGTAACGCCTTAAGTATATCTTGAGTAACTCTTAAAGTTGCTCATGGACGTGAGGTGCCTTTAGTGAAGTAGCCTTGTGAAACAGGCCCACTGTTGAGAAACTGACCGACCGGTCGTCAGTAGATTTCTGTAACCCCTCATGGACAGTGTGTCACTTTCAGCTGAGGCTTACGTGAATTGTGAACAGGAAGACGATCAAGGGATACTCGATGGTGACGACTCAGTGTCTACGTCATACCACTCCTTTCCCTCTTCTCCCAGTCCCGACGCCGCCAGATGAAGATGTAATCCCTACACAGTGCCTCGATGATGCTCTGTGCGGTGTCTCTCCTGGTTCATCTACTATGATCAACCGAAACTACAACGTTCTTCTGAGGACGGGTCAGGAAGTAAGCATTGATCTCGCATCATTAAGAGCTGACGTTAGGAGGCACACATGAAAAATTATGTGATTATAGAGTATCATGAAAAGATGGATCATTCATGGCGGATTTATAGATGTGAACCTCTCCTAAGCACTCGAAATGTTGATGCCCATCAAAGCTCAAGTAGAGCGTTACATCATCTTTTCTGAACTGTTCTGGAAGTCCCTGAGCTAAGAATAGATTCGATTCCACTCTGTATTTCAGCTCCGCAAGAAGGTATCATATCTCAACGCAACTGAGTTGGTCCAAATGTGAGTCAACTTCGTTTACAGTGATGTCTACATCTGTACAGCTACCGAGTAACGTCATCGCAGCCCAGTCTACTGAAGCCCTTGAACGAGAGGCTTGTATTAGAGCCGCGGTCAAAGGGCTACATACGCTTCCGCATTCTACCATTGACAAGGGAAATCCGGACAAGGTCAGGCCGGCCTCCGTGATTGTGTCATCAGTCTGGTTCGTTTTAGGGTTATCGTCACCATCACGCCTTCTGACATGACTGTTCCTCATGCAATAAGGGAAAGGCTTGTTTTTGATTTGACATATATTGCATCGTTACCATGATGATAGCAAACCTATGTGTTCGTGCTTTAGTGGTCTCTGGGGAATGTAACGCGACAA